GCGAAAGGGACCGGGTGCAGCTCCGGGCTACGCTGGCCTGGGCTCGGCGAGGAGCCGCCGGGGGGATCTTTGCTCTCCAGAGGCGAACTAAGCACCCCCGCCCCCACTCCCGCCCCTTCCCCGGTGCGAGGTGACCGGCCCTTTTCGGGTGTCTGGTGAACGGCTTGCACGGGAGGAAGTCGAGTTTTTTGTTCCTTTTCCGTTGGCACTTGGGGAATACCTGGAAGTGGCCGGCTTTTTCTCTAACTTATTATGACTTTTCCTCCTTTGCCCCAAGTCCCCGCCCCAGCCACCCCGCCCCCACAGCCTTAGCCGCACCCCCGGGGCTTCGGCGTGCTTTACTTTCCCAGGCACAAAAGCCAGGGCTCGATTTTGAAGGGGTTGGCGGTCCATCCGAAGAAAGACGACCAAGTTCTACTGCAAGGCTTCCTCGTTTCCACACTGGAATACGCCTGCGTAGGTGGACGGACTGGTCCTCTTCTGGTTGGGTTGGTTTTTAATGACTGAAAGTGCAGCCAAGTCGGAATGATAACCAGGACCGCGCTCATTTAACTATCTACCCCGCGTGACCAGCCTGAGGGGCGTGTAGCTCAGGCCCGTCGGAACCGGCGTCCAGAACCGAAAAGGAGCCCCTGGCCCCGTGCTGGGCTTGTTCAAAAGTATAATTAAAAACCAACAACATATTTAAAAGGACAGCCTTGACCAAAGATTTTGTTTTTCACATAGTCCAAAATGATACCACCTTTGCCCCCTACCTAAGAAGACACTTGATCTGCAAATAAATTTCCTCGCTCAGTCTTAGGGTTTAAGAAGCACGTCTACCCCACCTTGTTTTGGGAACACCTATGAAGAACCATTTACTTAAGCTGAGTGTGTGTCTGGGTGGAGCTACCTAACTGGGCCACCGCCTAATTGGCCACTTAAACTTAAGCAGGATGATAGCCCTAGTACTTTAGAATTGCTATAATTATTTTCCATGGCTCAATATTTGTAAAAAAAGAAAGAAAGAAATCAATGTGGTTTTTTTTGTAAAGAGCTTAAAAAATCTTACTGAATTCAAATGCTTGAGTGAGTGGTACCCTGGGAAAGTTAACTTTCCCTTAGTGAACTTATTTTTCAACGCGGTGCTCAGTTCGGCCCCATTGCTGATGAAGGAGGAGGATGTTGAGCAAGAGCGTGGTTTCCAGAATCGTGTAGCGTGTCTATGGGAGGGCAGGTGGGACTTACCTGTGGATGGCTTCCCTGCCAGCCGCACAGATGGCCATGTTGTGGGCCGCCTGGAGACTATCTGTGCATCAGATACGGTTGCCGAGGCCCCGATTCCCTGACAGAAAAGTTGAAACAGCTGGCTGTCCTGAAATAGGAGATTTGCCGTGGCTTCATCTACTGGATCTAGAGTATTCTGGCAAAAATTCAACAAATCATTTCTTTGCTGGCTTGAAACATTGCATTTGTTCACTAGGTGGGTGAGGTTGCCTTAGAACCGAGATCAGCCTCTCAAATAGGAAGAAACCTCCGTTATGACGTTTTAATGTTTATATAAGACCCTCCGAGCCAAATGAGGCTTCACATCTTTCTGGGTCTGCCCAGCTGCATCCCCCAGCTGCTCAGAACAGGAAGAGCCAGGGCATTGCCTTCCGAGGGTGTGGCTGAGGGTGAGCGTGGAGAATATAATTCATCAGCCTCTTGGCGGGGCTGTAAGGAGGGCACCTGTGCTGTGGTGTGTGTGTGTGTGTGTGTGTGTGTGTGTGTGTCCATGGCCTTTTAGGAAGTCTGGCAGGTCTCCATTAGGAAGGCTGTCCACCAAGACTCACGCAGTTGTGACTCATGAGGAAGACTGCCATTTTCTGATGTATGAACACAATATATAGTTTATATTTACCTGATACCTTCCTTCTGAAAACTCACTTTGGGACACTTTTCTCCATCTTTGGAAAACCGAGAATACTACTCCTAGGCAACAGAAATTTTTAGCAGACTTGAAGAACTGAGGGGGAAAAATCTGATGTCTTTATAATTTTGTGTACATTAGTTAGGGTATGACAATCTCTTTTGACTTTACTTAAAGTCAGGTTTAAAATTTTAAATTTAGCCCGGCTGGTGTGGCTCAGTAGTTGAGCATCGCCTATGAACCAGGAGGCCACGGTTCAATTTACATCACCAGTGTAGGACATGCAGGAGGCAGCCAATCTGTGATTCTCTCTCATCACTGATGTTTCTATCCCTTTCTCCCTCTCCTTTCCCCTCTCTGAAATCAATTTAAAAAAACATATTAAATTTTTAAATTTAACTTACAGCTTCCTTCCTAGAATCTTGCTTTATCATCATCCACAAAGGAAGCTCTGCTTTTGTGGCCATGACCAGTATGGCCTGCTGAGGACTGGAGCCCGTGTCTATAACTCTGCTGTATACTTTGGACCTAGGAATGATGATTCATAGGTCTTCTGTGACTTAGGTAGACTGAAATATTTGAGTAATCGGTATTGGCCATCTCCTCAGAATATGTTCAGGATATGTTTCCTTGTCCTTACTTGCATGTTACTTGTGAGTAAACTGCAGATGTTACACACAGGAATAGACCTATGAAAACAGAAATCTGATGGATAGCTGACTACAAGGTAGGTAAGTTCCTTTGGGCCTTGAAGGCATGACATGTATTTAGAAAGTCTGGAATCCATTTCAAATATGTGTTTTTGGGAATGTAACCTGGCCCATCCCCACTGATTAGTTTATCAGATTGCTAAGTAGTTTCCTGGCCAAAACAACACAATATGACAAAACACAACCAGGCAGAAATGGGATAAAGTGCCTGGCTGGTGTTGCTAAGTGGGTAGAGCATGAGCCTGTGCACCTCAGGGTCCTGGGTTCAATTCCCACCGTACCAGGTTCGATCCCCCGCCCCATTTGGGGCACGTGTGGGAGACAACGAATTGATGTATCTCTCAGATTGATGTCTCTCTCTCTTCCTTCCTCTTACTTTTCCTCCCTTTCAATTGAAAAAATATCCTCTGGTGAGGATTAACAACAACAATAACAAAACAAAGACCCAAAAGAAATGGGATAAAGTGCAGAAAAGATTTTTTTTTAAATATATTTTATTGAGTTTTTACAGAGAGGAAAGGAGAGAGATAGAGAGTCAGAAACATAGATGAGAGAGAAACATCGACCAGCTGCCTCCTGCACACTCCCTACTGGGGATGTGCCCGCAACCAAGGTACATGCCCTTGACCGGAATCGAACCTGGGCCCTTTCAGTCCGCAGGCCGACGCTCTATCCACTGAGCCAAACCGGCTTCGGCCAGAAAAGATTTGACGGAGGCAAGGAGGGAGAGGGAGGAAAAAGTGGAGGAAGCAGACATTTGCAGAAGCTGAAAGCCACCGTTTTGCCCAGGATTTCAGCTGTCAGTGGTTGCAAACTCAGCTGTCTATAGAGGCCAGCATAGTTTCTGATGGAGTGAGGTTGGCCTCCTGAGAGAGGAAATATGGAACATATACCCATCTAAAGAGACAGCATTACTTGATCCTAGGCCATAGTTACATCAACCATATTACCAAATCATCTTTTTTTTTTTTTTTTTAGAGAAGCTGGAAATCCAGATTTTAATGCCAGAAGGCGCATTTTTTAAGTGTTCAGATCATCACTGAGAGGCCAGACAAACACCTGCAGGCCAGCTCTTTGCAGCCATTCGGAAAATCTCAAAGTGGTGGCCTGTGAACCACAGCGCTTCCTTCCTGTCACTCACCGGTTAGCGGGAACGTCTAAACTTTAGCCACATGCTCAGAAATGGTGTTAGATTTTTATTGATAAAGTCACACCTTCCCACTGAGTTTCCATTGAGAACAAGCTAGTGCCTGGGCCTATGGAATCTCTTAGCTATGACATGGGAAATCAGCATCCAGCTGCTACTATTCAGAGCCATCTAAACACCAGTGAGATAGTTGTGAGTGGTGGCTATAAATTGAACTTCTCTTTCTTAACCCATCAATTCCCTCCTCAGTGACAATCTACCCCCTATATTGTATGATGCACCTCTTTTATTAGTTCTTTCCCAGTTGATTCTCATGAATTCAAGGTCTGTTTCAGGGGTCTATTCTTGGGAATAGATAATGAGCATTTTGGTAAATACGACTTTTTGCTCCTTAGTGTTAATGTCATGAACTCATGTGAGACTAAATGAAAGAGAACATGGAGTGCTTTTCATTTCCTGAGGGGGCTTGAGTCTTATTATTTAGTAGGAACGTATGAAGGCTCTTTTCATCAGCTTCAAAAAGCAGAAATATTTTGAAACCTCTACACAAGTGCAAGGTATTATGAACTTCATAATGGAATATATAGAATTACATGCAGTTGTGATTTTCCACGTTTGAGCCATCTACTATTTTGTTTTCACAAAGATGCCTGTTTTTATTAATATGTGGTTAAAATGAGTTTCTCCTTGGTGAGTTTTTAATTTTTTTTTAACCTTGCTGAGACTTGATATTTACAGAGCAAATTAGGGGTAAAAGGTTAAATGCCAACGGTATTAAAAATAAACATCTTGGCCTTATAAGCACATTCTGTAATAATGGTAAACAAATTATGTTTTGAGTTTCAACTTCAGAAT